GGATATTTCACCCAAAAATAAAAAGAACAAAAAATCTTACCCAATTTTATCTTTTTAAATTATGTATTTTTTCTTTTATCGCACCACAGGAACATCACATGATCAAAAACTCATAATAAATAGTAAGCAAGCACTGTGTCATGTGAACATGTATACGCTGACTGGCACGTTTATTAGGAACACCTTTACAACAAGCTATTAAATGGATAATTCATACAAAAATTAACACTCTCTTTCAAATAATACCAAACCTTTCTATATTTCCTTTTTCTGTTGAACACAAAGGTTTTTAAAAATGCTGACCTGTAACCCTTGACTTCCATAGTTGTTTTGCTCATTATTAAAGTCAATAGTTACAGGTTTTCAGCATTTTTCATTTAACTTATTTTGTAATCAACAGAAAAAAGAAACTCCAACAGGTTTGGAACTAGTGAAGGATGAGTAAATGATGACCGAATTTTCAGTTTTAGGTGAACTATCCTTTTAAAACAAATACCTAACCAGCCAATCTTACAACAGCAACTGAATGCATTTAGGCACATAACTTTGACCAAGATGATCTACCTAAAGTCAAACTGGAAAGGAAAGCTGATTTAATTTTCTTTTTAAGCATGGTGTGGATGCTGGTGCCAGACAGGCTGGTTTAAGCATTTCAAAAACTGCTGATCTTCTGGGACTTTCAAGAGCGTTTTAACTGACCATTTCCATCCTTTTATGACCACAGTGTGAATCTTGTGATTGGCTTCTTCCAGCAGGATAATGCACCATGACACAAAGCTCAAATCAGATCAAACTGGTTTCTAGAAAATTGCAATGAGTTCTCTATACTCAAATGGCTCTCAACAGTCACCAGATCTCCTACCATTAGAGCACCTTTGAGGTGTGGTTGAAAGACAGATTTAAAGATAGTTCACCCAAAAATAAAAATGTACAGTTTTGACTCACTATAAGGTCATTGAAGGGGTAGGCAATTAAGAATCTTTAGAAGAAATTTAAAGAAGATTTTTAGATGAATCCGTGGTCCTTGGTGATTTTTATAATACATGTCAATGATCACCAGCGTTTAAGATTAAAAATAAACACAAATGTAACTTCTTTACATTATTATAAGCTTTAATCAACAGCTTTTTTTTTGGAAAAATTTATTTTTGATAGGAATTTTACCATTTTTGCAGGATACATGTTTAAAAATATTTCCTTTAAAGTCTCTCTAGATACAAATCGTTGTCTAATATCATTAAAAACTAATGTCCATTAGTGAGTCTTGTGTCTGATACAGCATCTTGTGTAAACAACCGCATCATGTCATAAAATTGTTTAATTTTCTTCCTAATATGGTTGGATTTCAAAACATTTATTTTGTTGAGCACTAATTGCATTCTGCTTGCTATTTTTAAAGAATATAGCCTTTTATAAGTGGCTTTAAATCTGAAGGTGGGCACTCCTTTATTCTTACAGTTAGAGCCGTTTTGGCAGCTTTTCTGCTCTTTCATTTCCAAATAAGCCAAAATGTCCTGGGATGCAGCAGAAAACTATAGTATAAAAGCTCCTTCACTTTAATAAAAACGTCAATATCAATAGAATCCTCAAGTTTAATAGTAAAATGATAAAAATAATAAATTTGTGTTTTTGAGTTTTTTTGTGTTCCAGAGCCAAAAATAGAGCCTCAGCTTCAGAATATGGATCTGCAATACAGATACCACAATGTAATCGACACATTACAATCGCAGAAACATGACTATCATTTTTGATCCACCTGTCTATATAGAATTATTGAGGTTACATAAATGATGTTGGAGATTTTTCTCAAAATGTAACTTGGGCTGTAACCTGGGCTGTGATTGCACAAAATGCTCCAACTGCTATAATTATGCTTGCAGAAATTAATCCATTCTGATTATTCCATTGATCAATGAATTCATGTCTGAGCTCATGAGTGCCAAGAACCGTTTACCAAGGCTGTGGATTAAATTTAATAATATTTGCAAATAATGTTCAGTTTCATGTTCAAACTGATCGTTTTACTTTATCGGACCTCGATTGATTTAGACTTGTTTGTTTGTGTGTGTTTATTTTTAATCTCAAAAGCAGGTGACCATTGACTATACAAATCACCATTGATCAAAGAAATCTCCTCTTCAATGCCCTGAGGGTGAGAAAATTACCCGTAAATTGTAGTTTTTAGTTGTTAAGTATTGTTCTCTTTGATGCAGTACCAAGCAGGTGTCCCTAGTGTCCCAAGTGGCTAGTGAGTGTCAATTCCCAGAATGACTGTTTGTGGTGCTGCTTATACATGTTTTTCCACAGTTTTCTCATTAGAGTACGAAATTAGAAAAGTTGTAAATTTGATAACAGCAGCAAAAAGCACCATCTGGACCTGTGGCAGAACAGCTGATGTTTTACTACAGCATCTATTTCTAATGTTTAGGGTTTCACAACCTTTATCTAGGGGACTGATTGCATCAGTTTTACCACACCTGGGTTTCTCATTTCATTTACCAATGCTTAAAGCATAGAAGATATAAGTTCTGAAATACACTGATGTCAAGCTGTGGTGGACAAAGGGGAAAAATTGGCTGCAGCAGAGCAAATGTAACTAGTACATCATAGACTTTAGTTTTTTCCTGCATATGCTGTGAAGCTGCAAACTAATAATAAAACATAAAAAGGCTATGCTATATAATAGGGCTGCATGATATTGGAAAGAAAATATTATGTTTTCTTGCATTATATACTGCAATATAAAATACATTCCATATATAGAATTTATTATTTCAAAATGGTTAGGGTGATTTAAAGGGGAATGCATCTGCATGAATTACATTAAAATAGTTACAATTCTATTTAACCCAGATTTTAAGGGGGTATAAAACATACAAATAAGTAAAAAAGTGCACAGTTAAACACAAATATTTAACCCTTGTGTTTTGTTCAAATTGACTACACGTTTGTTATGTGCGTGGCTGTATTTGCCCCATTGACTTACAATATATAGACATGTTTGAATTGCAAAGCATCAGTTAACCCTGATGTTCAACATGGCACTGTTGCCATGGCACTGTTAACACATTAAATAGGCCTGTTCAAAACCTTTTTGAGTAAGATAGGGTGTTTAATAGAGTAAAACAGCAAATTATAGTGTGCGTGCATAAATACACTTACTTTGTTCTGACAGCTGAGCTGTTTTTTTTTTTTTTTTTTTTTTGCTTTTCTCACACATATCAAGGTAAGTGTGCAAAAGTGTCTCACACACACCCACACTATACTCCGTATAACCATAAGCTTCAGAAACTAAGCTTTTTTTTTTATTTGTAAATTTACCTCTTCCCAACAGGGAAAACCAGCAACAATCAAGAATGTATGATAATATGGTGGATTTGCAATCAAAAAAATATCACTATAATGGAAGTAAATGGGGCAAAAACAGCCACGAACATAACAAAAAGTGTATTGGTAATTTGTTTTACAATTTTCAAAGCATTTTCCAAAAATGTGTGTCACCAAAAATTATTTCATTTGCTGAAACAGAGAAAGTTGTGGCCAAATTAAGACTCAAAGGGCGTACTCACACTATTTACAGTTGCCTTGAACCGGGCCAAAGCACGCTTGTCCCCCCTCCCGTTGCTCCCGACGGCCCTCACTCACATTACATTCGGGCCTGGGCACGCTTAGGTCATCGATGATGCGCTGTTCAGTAAAGAGGCGCTCTCGCTTAGCACAATGGGGATTTATTTAGTTAAATTGTTTTAGTCGTTTGATATGCAGTGACACGCAGTCAAATATTTGGCAGAACAGATCAGCCACTTTTAACACTCATAAACAATCAAAAAGTCCTCGTGCTGCAGGAATTAGGAGGTTTGCTAAAGATGCAGCTGTTGTGCAGTGGGGGGTTTGCGTCTTTAATAATCTACGACTGTTTGCGTTCATTAAACATTAAGAATGATTAATAAATCCATACAAAACAGTGCCGTAAAAGTCACGTCTCGTCTTCAGTTTCGGGCTCAGGCGCGCTTAGCACTCATACTATAAGCATACCACGCCAAAGCTCAAGAGAAAAGCGCTCTGGCACACCTCTTCCAACCGGGCCAGGGCTGGCCAAGTGAACTGTGCCTGAGCCTGATTCAGCGCACTCACACTTTTCAAACAATCCAGGAAACAGGCCAGGGCACGGTTCAAAATGCATAGTGTGAGTAGGCCCAAAATCACCACAAAGGGGATGAAAAATCCAATCTAAAATGACACTTGGAAGCCTTCACTATTAGCTACAAATGTTATTGTTTCTTGTGCCTGGATGCTTTAAACTTACTTGATATGTTTAACAGTCAAAACTCATGCAAATTATAAACTTTAAATCCACAATGATTAAACTTTGCTATTAAACTACAAGCTTTTGGTCGACAATAACCCATACTTTACATTGAAAATCATGCGATGTGACTATTGCAGATGTACACATTGTGATATCGATGCTTAGACAATACTGTGCAGCCCTACTATGTAACATGCATAGCAGACACAAGCAGAGAGAAATCGAATATTGGTTTTGCTAAGGAAGACATCTTCAACAACAAATTAACATATACTTGTAGTGTAGTGAAGAATGGTGACCCAAAAGCAGCACAGTGAATCTTGTGATCCGACTCAGCATTAGTGTGATAATGGCCAGAGAAAGCTGAACTTTACTTACTGCGGTGAGGTGTGAATTTGCTGGTAAACACTGTATACTTCTTGAATACTGCGTTCAACCTTTCTCTGGATTTAATGATAAGACAGGAAACACAAAATGTGGAGGTGAGAACACCAAACAGAAAATGTGAAAACAACAAGCCTATGACATGCAGAACAAAAGGATGCACTATGGCTGATGCTGACTGTGTATTATAAGTGTGGCTGATATCGCATTCTGTTCACATTACGTCAGTGTCACACAAAAACAATCAGTTGGGTTTAGGTCTGCACGATTTTGGAAAAAACTGACATTTCGATAATTGTTTTTCTCAGCGAGATATATTCCCCAATATATATAATTCACACAATTCCTCCAGATTACTTAAATAGTTGTCTTTGGAAAGTCATTACTCTAGAGTGATATGGATGATTTTGTATGAAAGTAAAATATAAATATATTTTTGCAAGTTATAATATACATATAATAAGCAAACTACTGTCATGAATAAACACAATGGAGCAAATATTAAAGTAAAATAAACAGTGCTTTGAGGTTTACTGGGAAGAGTCTAACGGTATTCGAGTACATAAATTGAATAATCAAATGTAAAAGAGCATTGCATAGTCTTCATCATAAATAATACAACACAATGCATCGTTATTAGACTTCTTAATTATCTTTATATTCTCTTAAAATGCTCACAAATGTCGTAAAAGACGATGAATATTTTAAACTTTCACTCTATAGTGGTTAAGTTATGTGTCTCCACAAATCTCATGCGTTTTGACCTGTGAATTCTGGTCATCTATAATCCCAACTCAACATTGCATATCTTGCAATGTGACTATTGCTGACACTCACATGTTGCAATATCGATGCTATGACAATATATTGTGCACCTCTTGTTGGGTTTTATACATTTATTAGAAATCTGAAGGACGACTAGTGCATACTAGAATTTCAGTCAGTACATTATTTTGTACATTACTTTTAAATCACAGATGTAGCATTCAGCCTTAATTAAATACAGAGAAAATCAAGACCTAATTTTTCGTGACTCAATTAAAGATATAAAAAAGCAATAAAAGGAATTAATGGAATTGAAAATGGAATTGAATGCAGTGCTTCTTGTCCGATCGGAGACCCAACTCATATCATATATCTATCAAACAGTGACGGTCACTGATTTTTAAAAAAAATTAGACATAAATGTGACAGTTTTATAATGGAAAGGCTACAGAAAGCACTGAGGCTGGCTGAAATGAAAAGTCTGTGTGCATAAACCCCATTGTTTGCTTAATAGCCCCTTAATGTATCATCAAGAGTTTAAACTGATTCGACAATCTACATAGCAAAAATATCTACTGAATTAAATCAAAAGGGAATATTATATTTAGTTTTTGTCTATTTTTCCTTTTTTTGCAAAACAAAAATCTTCTTTAATCTTCTATTGCGGGAAAAGGTCACCACCGACATTTTGGTTTGTCGTTTTTGGGTGAACTATCCCTTTGGTGTAGTCAGAAACTGTCTGATACACGTGTTGGCATCTCTAAAAATCACTGATATTTCCGAAACTACTGGCTTAATAACTTCTGATGGCGAACGGTCAATCACCCATGCAGAGCAACACAACAACAGTGCAGTATGAGCAGATTCTCGTTATATGACAATATTTTATGTTGTTTTTCTTCTTTTATCCAGGATGTCTGAATTAAAATCAATTTAGATAAACTACTAAAATGAATCTGTTTCGTTTACACTACGGTATTAGTATAATTACATCCCGCACGTGCAGAGCCCACTACTGTCTCCATCAGCACAGCATCAGTAAATAGACAGTTAGCTCTGCGCTAATACCAATTAGCTAACTAATACTAAGAGTTAAGCTCACCTGCTCTCTCGAGGTCACCGTTTGCAAGCCGTCATCATTGAAAAGCTCAGAGGAGTGCGATTCCTGAAAGCATCGCAGGGATGGAGGCGCCTCTTCCATGATGAGCTCTCAAAACTCATGCACTGGGACAGAAAGACAGCAGTTTTCCAGCAAGGCAAGTGTCAAGATCGCGTGGGCGGGGTTTCCTCAACCGAGTCAAGTGACTTCGAGCTCAAGTACGGAAAGCCTGAAGGCACAGTTGAGCAAACGGCGACGGTGATGCGAAACGGTTCTCTCAAACTGTTCGGTTCAGATAAGAGTCGGAGATTCTTCGACGTCATGACGCAATACGTTTCACGTCGTTTTTGAACATATGGTAATATTTTTGATAATCCAGGAATGCTATCCCGGTCCTATTCAAAGAACTTATATATTCCAACCTTTTTAATATGAATTTAGTTAAAAAAATTATATGCAAATATTTGACATTTCCTCTTCCTCCAAAACACAAAGAAGTACATTTTAAAATTCTGTATGATATTTACCCTGCAAAAAAAGTTTCTGAGAAAAAGATTTAATGTGAATTGTAATGTTTGCCAATTCTGCAATAGTGATATTGAAACTGTTAAGCATTTATTTGTTGTAATTTGGTTAATCTTTTCTGGTCTGATGTGGACAACTGGATAAAACAATATATTTCAAGGTTTCCTTGTTGGGACATTGTGAAGTTTGGAGTACATTTGAGTAGCAAAGATGATGACTTAACTGCAAATTGTTTACTCATTTTACTTAAATTCTTCATTCACAAAATCCTCAATTGATTGTGTTTAAAAAGGAGTTTGCCACCTATGTAGAAGCTTTAAAAATAATGAAGGGTGAGAAGGCAAAACAATTGTATGATTTGTTTCTAGAGTATGGTTTTATTTAACCCCTTAACAGAGTTTCTGTTTGATGTCTGCACGGTATGTTGTTCTTTTTTTTCTTTTGTTAAGTTGTTATGTACATTTTATTTTGTTCAATTTTATGGTTTTGCATTTGATTTACTGTATATCTGACATGTCTCAGTCAGTTTATATATATATATATATATATATATATATATATATATATATATATATATATATATATATATATATATATATATATATATATGAGAATCTTAACTGAGGAAAAATACAAATAAGGAAAGAGTTTTTTTTTGTTTTGTTTTTTAACTGATCCACAGGTTTATCCTGTCAAAAAAGTTTACAGTCAAGTTTACAGTTGACACTGACATACATTTACTTTTGTAACATCATTACATTCAGGAGTTTTGTAATAATGTTTTGATATTTTAACTCAGACCCCACAAATGAAAATAAAGTTTTTAAAATAAATGTAATTATTTTCTTAAGCAAATATTACATTCACAAATGTAAAATGTAAAAAAGAAAACCTGCCTTTGTGTTTTTTTTAAGAGAGCTTTATAAACTGTCTAAATATGCTCTGGGTCAGCACGGTGATGCAGTTGGTAGCACAGTTGCCTCACAGCAAAAAGGTTGCTGGTTCGAGCCCCAGCTGCGTCAATTGGCATTTCTGTGTGGAGTTTGCATGTAGCGGTTTCTTCCAGGTGCTCCGGTTTTGCCTGCAGTCCAAAAATATGCGCTCTAAGTGAATTGAATAAGCTAAATTGGCCGTAGTTTGTTTAAGCATGCAAGAGTGTATGGGTGCTTCCTATAGTGTTGGGTTGTGGCTGGAAGGGCATGCGCTGCTTAAAACATATGCTGGATAAGTTGGTGGTTAATTCCACTGTGGTGACCCCTGATTAATAAAGGGACTGAGCCGAAAAGAAAATTAATGAATGAAGTTATCAATTTAATTATGAGTTTATTAATTAAGTTTGTTTTTAATTATATTAATTCATATTTTAGTTTACCCAAAAATTTAAATTTACTGTTAATTTATGTACTCTGCATGTTCTGGGCATTGGTGTTTTTTTTCTACAGTAAAACATTAAAGATCTTTAATTGAAAATGATCATTTAAGTAAAAAACAAACAAACAAACATACAAGCAAAACAAAATGAATGACTTTTGGGTATTCATTGAAGTTATATGAAGCGAAACAGTTGATTTGTGCAAGAAACTGAACTTTTATTACAATATTTATACCTTTAAATAAGCCTCTGCAAAAGGTATCATTAAAAAAGTACTGTTTTCCTCTCACTTAAAGCTTTTTTTTTTATAACAGCACTTAAAATCAGGGAGCATAAAGCTTCAGTTATAATACATTATTGTTTTTGTGCACTGTAACAATAATCTCTCACACACATAAATCTACCAGTACTTATAAAAAATAATCCTGATATTCATATCAACACACACATTTATATAATTACATAATTTTTATTCATTCATAATTTTAATTATTTAAAGCCAATTTTAACTTTTAACAAACTAAAAAGCAAAAATATTACACATTTTACTATAATAAAATAGTTAATAAAAATAGAATCCCATATTTAAAAAATAATGCTGTTTTTTATTTAATTGCTTTCAATAATGCAAATATAATAGCTTCAAATCTAGATAAGTTTGCTTTGAAAGTCCTGAGATGTTCCTAGTATAAACAGATTTATGAAAGAAAGAGAAGGTGAATTTTTTTTCTTTTTTTTTTAAATAGAAATACACATTTGTACCATTTTATGCTGTTTAAAATGCACCAAAACAGCCAGAATGATCACACAAAAATATTGATGAATAGTTCAATCCAGTTTTGCGAACCGATTCAGTTGATTCATATGGAAAGATTCGACTCATCCGTTCTGACTCGATCACGATTCTCGCATCACTAATTATAACAGCCATCATTCCTATGTATGACAAATTTAATTTATTTGTTACTATTTATTGTAGACACACACAAAAAGTTCCATTCTGACTTTTTGACAGTATAATACTATAATATTTATTGTAATAATTTGTCTTGCCTCAATTTTATTTTTTAACATTAAAATAAAACTACCATAAATGCATCTATCTGCGCACTCTTAGTAAATATAAAGTTAATACAGATAAAAATATTATTATCCATAAATATATTATGGCCGTAATCTCCACCCATTTCCTGAGGTGTGAAGGATGTCGGCTGAACGAACAGAGATCTTGTAGCCCACCGCACCGCACCGCACCCACCACACCACACAGCATCGGCACTGATCACACTGACTCCAGTTTTATCCTCACGCTCTTTCGGGGAAATCCGCACGTCGATGGAAAAAGCGAGAAGATGATACTTTGAAGAGGGTGGACATGGAAACCCGACGCTGAGTTCCTTTAATTGTTGACCATAAGACACCATGGCCAAACAGTACGATGTGCTGTTCAGACTCCTGCTGCTCGGGGACTCCGGTGTCGGCAAAACCTGTTTATTATGCAGATTCACGGACAATGAATTTCATCCCTCTCACATTTCCACCATCGGTAAGAGTGTTACTTTCATGCATCCGTTCAAAGAGTTGCAGAACAAACAGATAAGAAAAACACAGGCGCTGCTGGGCCATTATAGTCTATGAGCCGTGAAAAGAAAGGCTGGAGAATTACACCACACAGTGAGATGCATTCACACACATAAACACACGCACACGGTCATATTTTCTGACACGCTTGATTGTAAACATATGTCGTAGAATGTCCTCTTAAAGATAATAAGGTAGTTTTTAATAATATATCGCATGAATGGACCCTGAAAGTGCAGGTGGTTTGCGTGTATCACACTTGATGCCTATAAAAGTGTCCTGTCTTTGTACTTTTCAAGTTCTTTGTATTGATATGAAATGGAAATCAGGTTTAACTCAATTGTAAGCTTTCTGTCCCAGCAGTGAGACCGCTTTCCCTAAAATGAATATTTTATCACTGCGAGCTTTCAAAGAGCAGGAGTCATTTTATTTGAGTTGATTGGGTGTTATGAAAAACAGAATTCTGTGTGCTTCATAAGCTTCTCATTTTTTCAGTGTTTATAGAGTGTGAGGTGTTCCCAGTGTGCTGATATGTCCCGAAAACGGCTAAATAACTTGTAGAAGATGGACAGAGAGATTATTCTACAAGTGATTTAGCTGTTGTCAGGATTAAAAGATCTGTTCAGATCTCTGTGATCATCAATCATCATCAGATGTGAATGAGTTTTATAAGTTTAAAACTTTTTTAAATCGGTGCATGTTTTTAATGAGTTACAGCAACTTTACTGTCTTTATTACCACACCCGCATGTCAGTACAATTATTAAAGAAGACGACTCAATCCAGGTTTGTGGACGTTAAATCATGGTTATTTTGTACATTAACATAACGGATATCCATACAGCAGTGGATATTAACGTGTATGCTGTCACATTTGCTGTGAAAAACAGTGAAAAGTTAAACGTGCACGCTGTGTGTGAGTGTGTGTCATCTGTGTGTGCAAACTTTGTAACGATGTTGTGTGTGACTCATCATTGCAAGAAGGCTTGAATTAACTCCACAACAAATACATCGAATAATCATTGGGAAAGTTCTTACTGTAGTATTTCTCACAAACGTTAAGAGAGGTCTGCTTCCTTCACGTCTGTCACTGTGCTGTTTATCTGACGCTGCCGGAGACTAAGCCACACTCTGACAGACAAGTGGGAATGGTGGGAGGGGAGAACCAGCATTAAAGGTCACAAAAACAGCTAATTGTTCCAAACTCTTAACAGGTTTGGAACAAGTAAAGCGAGAGTAAATTATGACAATTTTCAGCTTTAAGTGAATTATCTCTTTAGGACAACCATTCTGTTTACATTTTAGTAATTGAATAGTATTTATACATTTTTATATATTTTAGCACTTTTTTATACATTTGTTATGCGCGATTCACATGGGGCTTCAGTGTCAACGCATCACAGAGGGTGTATCTGAAGTTGGGGCTGATGCGATCGTCATAGCAGCGTTATGCCGTGTTCAAACTGCATGATTTTAGCCCTGATTTTCACTTGCGGACAGGTTTGAGAAGTCGCCGACAAATGCCTGAAATCACAGGCTAATCGGTGCTCGTTCAAGTGAGTAACAATCACACAGTGTGTGATTATCAAGGATGGGATATGAGAGAATCACTGATGAGTTGCCGACACCCGTGAGATATTTGGCATGCTAATTATCTGGAGCTGTCGGCGATTCAAATCATGCCGTGTGAACTGTGTTTTGACTGAAAATAACATCGCCGATTACCTACAGCCAATGAGAAAGCAGCATTCACTAGTACGGGTACCTGCAGGTCAGCGGTTGGGGAAGAATTTAAAAGTGCTCATTTTCAGTTTTTTTGGACCCAAGAAATGAAGGAAAAAATGGTGTAAATTTGGCAGGACCACTGTGTCTGTTTGACATGTCATCTGATCATTATCACAATCAAGTCAAAAAGTAAAAAAAAAAAGTTGAGGAGAGATTGTAATTCTCTTTAAAAGACAGGTGAGCAACACAAGTTTCTAAAGCTAAATTCTTCTTTTTCCATAATGTAGTTAATAACAAAAGAAATACTACGTGACCTTGCGCTGTTTCCATGTCACCTCTCGCGTTTGTTTGGTTGTGAGACGTAGTTTGGACAAAGTTTTCTGTGATTCTTCCTATTGTAAAGTCATGCAGTGTGAACTCTCCTGTTACCTGCCGATCCATCCTACAGTGTAAACGCAGCACCGACAGAAAGCTACCCCAGATAGTCATGTGTGAAAACAACTGTGACACGACTACTCTGAACATCATGCAGTCTGAACTCGGCATTAGCCAATCAAATTAGACAGCTATTGGCTACTGTCTGAGCTGGTGTATTTGCATACAGCAATCTGATTGGCTGACACTTCCATTGGCACTTAAAAAGTTGAGAAAGTCCCAACTTCTGCAGTGAGCAATGCAGCTGAAACAGTGCCGACTGGCCCACAATTCAGTTCGGCAATGCCTGACATAACCCATTCAATGTGAATGGAAAGCGTTGACGCTGACGCCCCTTGTGATTGGGCTATAAGGGTCTTCTTTAGAAATGTGCTCAAGAGAGCTAGACCAAGGTGAGTATTTGTTTTTAAAAATAAATGAAAATGAACATTACAGAATTAAAAAAAAAAAAAAATTTGAGTAAACCATTATTGGTTGGCTGTGGATAATTTAAAGCTGCATCAATATGGCTTTTGGACTATCAAAAAAGTAAAGTTCCCCATTCACCTTCATTCAGTGGAGAAAAATCCTACTGAAGAAAAAAAGACAATAAGAAAACTTTGATTTAAAATATATCTAATTTCAATAAGGGCGACACGGTGGCTCAGTGGTTAGCAAGAAGGTCGCTGGTTCAAGGCTGGCTGGGCCAGTTGGCATGTTCTTTGCATGTTCGCATGGGTTTTCTCCGGGTGCTCCTGTTTTCTCCACAGTCCAAAGACATGTGCTATAGGTGAATTGAATAAACTAAAGTGGCCGTAGTGTATGTGTTTATGTGTGTGTGAATGAGTGTGTATGGTTGTTTCCCAGTACTGGGATGTAGCTGGAAGGACATCTGCAACATAAAACATATGCTGGATTAGTTGGCGGTTCATTCCGCTGTGACAACCCCTGATTAATAAGTTACTAAGCCGAAGGAAAATAAATGAATTTCAGTAACAGCATTGACTTTTCATTATGAGATTCAAAGTGACACACTGCCTGAAATTGTTATCATTATTTAACATGATTGACAGCATGTAAAACTTCGTCTTGCGTTCACATAAATTTGGAAAGGTAGTATGGTGAGTAAATGATAATGAAATTTACATTTTGATGTGAACTACTCCTGTTAATGAAGCATCTGAGGTGCTGAACTCTTACCCAAAATGTAATCCCTCTATTAAATCACATGCTTCATTAGACGTGGAGTGAATGTCAGACTGTTATTTAGCAAAAGTTCAGGGTATGCTCTGTTGTAGAGCTCTCTTGGCGTTTCCAGGGAAGCAAAAAAAAAAAAATCAGACGCCTTGCTTTCGAAAATTAGACATAAGATTCTCCCTTCTGTTCTGGTGATGATTCTCCCCCAAAATCAATAAAAATTCAGAAGGTCTGACTCATTCCTGCAGCCTGCTGTCTGTCCCGATAGTGTTTATTTAATATGGTGGGATGGATCTGTTTTGGTTAAGCAGTGATGTGATACAGAACAATCTTTCCTGCTGGAGATAAAAGCTTGAGTCTGACTGGTCCTGAGAGATGGCTGATGTCTTGCCCTAAAACATGGTTCAGTAAGCTCTAGTCCGCAGGGCTGTGACCTATATATATTGTGATACTAGGCTGTCAAGGGCCTTAGTGCTTTACTGAAATATTATTCACCGTGGAGGAAATGTCGGTGTGGTCTGAAAGTTAATTTGAAGCATTAGCTAATGGACTAGCGCTTCTGTATGTGCCTCGAGATGCCATGCTGTTCTGTTGAATTGTTTTGGCTGTAGAATGCTGCTGCCGATCGATGAGCTTGAAGATAACGAGTAAAGCAAAGATATGAGCTCCATTCCATTTCATATGTTTTCTCCAGTTAATTGTTGGAGATGTTGTCAACAACACTAGAGAATTGGACTTGTTTAATGTGTATGTGCTAATCGCCGTAGAAGATTGCACTTTTGTCTTGTTACATTTATTTCCATTTCCAATTAGTCGCTGTCTCAGAAGGAAAGTGTCAAAGTGATGATTTAATTGTCCCAGCTCTAACACATTATGTCAAGTTTAATACTCATTACCGTTTGTCCGGTGACCATTAAATCAAAGGTCTGCTTTAATTGTCCAGAAGCCTTATGATGTCAGAAGTGTAAAATATTGATAAATTACAAATATAAGCTTAAAATGAAACTTTTATAAACATGTTTACTTTTGTCCTTTAAACTGATTGGATAATAATTATTTGATAAATAAACTTCATAAGATGTCTTAGATTTATTGTATTGTTTTAAATGATAACCAATGTAGCTCATATAGCATTAAGAAAGGATTTTTTCAATCATTCAAAGGTACTTATGAGAAAATCTTTACTGTCTTTATTTTCAAGTCAATTTTCAACTTGGCTACAATTAAGGATTTTTACATTTTCATTCAATAATATTTTAGGTAATTGCTATAATTGACTTTGACAGCACTTAACTACCTAAATACTTTCAAAACCACGCATATCATTCATTAAAATAAAATGGCCTTTAAATTAATTTTTGTCAAAACTACAAGTCATTGCAATTGCCCTCGAGAAAATGGATGGAGTCTGTCCTGAAAACTGTTGCTACCTACAAACTAAAAGCTGTTTCACTCATTCAAAGGGGACCTATCACAAAATCCATTTTTACTTGGTGTCACATACACATAATGAAACCAAGCAAATGTTTGTCGCAAGACTGTCAGCAAGAACTGTAAAGGTTCTGCTTTCTTTTGAAAAACTCCTTTGCATTTAGAGAGACCCACATAAAAATATGGTGTGATTTTTGCT